ATGTGCAGGAAAAAAAAGGAATATGTTTTGATAGGCGAGTCAGAAAAGGGAAGACGTCAGTAAAAACTAAAACTATCAACAACCCAAAATACCAGAAGGCTGACTATGAGATTTCCGAGACAACGCAATGTCCATTCAAATAGCATCGTACGTGTCTGTTTTATAATTCTTCTTACAAAGTATACAATATAATTCATATCTATTGCAAATCGTTTGAGCTCTATAGGGTATCTTCTTAAAAACATAGAGGATTGTATGATTTTTATTACGTGGAAAGTATACAACCTGCACTTTACTGTAAACGCAGAGCATGCTCTCAATAAAATATATCTAAATTTATAGCGACATCGAAAATAAATGGTAGTCCTATTTAGCGACTGCGGATTTCAGAGCCGGCATCCTGGCAGAACTGAAATAGCTTAGTAGTACACAGCACGATAATTACTACTGCAACCCTACTTAAGTGATGTTTTCGAATCGAAAAGTCATTTCATAATTGCGGTTAGAATTTCACAATATTGGTGGCTGACTGTATGTCTGAGGTTAGAGAGGGAGATTATACACTGATGACCTCTCTTCACCCCTAGTGTCGTGATGCAGTGGCAAGACAATGTCAAGAAGACTGACGACGGACTTAAACACAGCGGCTGAGTGGGCACCCACTCCCGTCTCTTGCTTGGCGTGCACACAGACTGGTCAATCCAGTCGACACCAACCAACATTTACACCAGCAGACAGTCTATCAGTAAGGCAAAGGAGCCGCTGCCAACGACAGAGAAAGCGAGATACGGGCGAACAGACATAAACGGCGTATGCCGTTATTTGTAAACGTACGACCACGAAGTGCATATGCATGACGGTCAAACGCCAGTTCAAAGCAAAAAAGCCGATAGGACCAGCCAACCGCTGCACAGGGTAACAACTAATAGGTTCGGCTGCGGTCGACATGGGAGAGGCGTCAGTCAGCACAATCTTTAAGACAATATCCAAAGATTAACGTGGCATGAGAAAGAGAGAGAGAAAGGTAAGTCAGGTGGTCATTTTGTTATAAAGGTAGGTCGGGTCC